TAAGCCCTAAGCCTTAAATCCCAAACCCTAAACCCTGAGCCCTAAACCCTAAACCCTTTAAACCCTAAACCCATTAGGGGTAATGGATTCTTTCGGCTTCTGTCAAAATATCAGCTCCGCTCAGGCAAAAAACATTCAGCACCGTGTGAGCCATTGTCTAAATTCCTAGTATCCTCCTCAATAAACCCATATCATGGAGAATCAAATGGAAAAGAAAATGGAACATGAAGTGGAAACTGGGATTATATAGGGGATTATAATCTTGACTCCTAGTATCCTCCTCAATGACCCCTATAGTAGTCTCCTATTCTTTATTCCCCTATCTAACCCCTCTTTTGGAGTTTAGACTATAGCTCATGTGAGGGAAAGTGGGGTACTGCTCGTTTTGCCGGCGTCTGCTTGTTTATCCGCATCTCTGGGAACCAACCCACTGCACAACCATTGAGCATTTGGGCCTTCTGCTTCTACTTAGGATCTATTCACGGGACCTCTTCACGCCGCTGATCTCTACAGGTTCAGGCCTTGTCAGCAAATCTTCGCGGCCACTATTCTGAACATGCCAGTTCCATTCTGAGGTTCACGCTTTCTTGAGGGGCAGCTGGGAACTCCGTTTGACAAGAATGCCCGTGCTGATCTTCGGCGCCGTTTTGCAAGGGAATGAATGCTACAAGTGGCGAGACCTACCGAGCATGACCATAACATGGTTGAACGAGGAAGCTGCTTACTGACACACGTCAAACCTTCTTCTCAAGAGGTAGCTGGATGCATGGCTTCAGCCAAGATTTTTTTGAGCAAAATCCTGGTTCAAAGTATACTCGAAATTGCAGGCCATTCCGAAGTCTCCCTCGTTTAATTTTGCTTTTCGTAACGGAGGACTAATCTTTTACTATAAAGATGTCCTGGTGTGACAATGGCTGCATCTATAGCCACCTCACGGCATCTCCCAGGCCTTAGCCCGAGGATCGCCCCAAACCTTCGCCCTGAGATCTAACTCTCTTCCCCAATGACCAGGCCCAAAAAAGTTGGAACTTTATTATAGAGACCAAATGAGGAAGCCCAAAAAGTTCAAAGTTCTTATATTGGCTAAGTAAGCTAATCTCCAAATCCTCCACCCCGAACCCTCAACGCGCCCTGCGCCTCATCTTTGACAACTGGCCATGACCCATCTGGATCTTCTCCTGAACTACTTGCAGTCACCAATACATGTGTTTCTGGACATTCAGGATTCGGGGATAACATTGTCCAGGCTCGGAGCGAAATTCGGTGCGGACAGTACGTTGGTAGGTCTCTGTAAGCTGGACTGAAGAAAAGCAGTGGGACTGGTTCAATGGATGAAAAAACTGCAGGGCATCGCCCCTTATGTCGTGCATGAGTGCCCGCACAGGTCCTTGTGATCACCTTCGTAGCGCTTCGAGTACACCCAGCCAGGATGTCTGACAATAATGATTCCTTTGAAGGAATACTAGAACTTTTCCTGGGCCTCAAACTACTTGGTCTTGTGGGGATACTTGTTGTTGAATGCCTTAGTCATGTCGGCTCCAGGGTAGCTAGCTCAACGTGCTTTCAAGCGTGAGCCTATCATCCATCTCATGTATGCCTGGTGGCTTGCTACCCCCTTAAGACCCCAGCCCATCCAACTGGTTACAAGCGACTCAAGTATGCCAAGCCCAAGCCCTGATCCCAAAGTTACGAAGCCCTAAGCCCTAAATCTCAGCTTAGATCCCAAGCCCGTAAGCCCCTGTGAGCACGGCCAATACCGGAAGTAGGGGGTCTGTCCTCAGTTTCGTCAATCTTGTTCGTCAGCGTATCAATCTGTCGGATAGGGTTTCTGGGTGTATTGGGTGTTGGGCTAGAGGTTTTGGTTTGAGGGATTAGGGTCTACAGGGCTTAGTCTGCTGAGGGAAAGGAGAAGACTGCATGAAGCAGTTGGACGGGAGGAAGGCGCCTGGATGGTTCTTAACCCACTTACTGCACAGGCTACTCATGGAGCAAACCCTCCGCGGCTCATGACTATACAATGCTTCCTCGGTGTGCTTTCCAGCTTTCTCGAGCCGGCACATCAAAGGAATCATGCAACTTCTGGCACCGTCAGCCATCAGTACAGCCAGAGAACATTGTCAATATCAGAGACCCAGAAAACAGTTTATGGGACTGCCGGGCGGCTGTAAAGGAACTCAAGTTAACTTGCTTTTAACTACGAAGCCCTTTTATTATACAATGTCAACTTAATTTAACAATGGCATTGTGTGGATCACCGTTCTGGCGGCCTGCTGGTCATCATAGCAGAGCGAAGGAAACGATACGACGTCCGTGGCACAGCGCACTTCGCCAACAGGGCCCCCGGTCAGAAGTAGGCTGCGAACAAAAGTATCAAGAGCTTGGACCTTGCAAGGGCACTTGTTATGTAAAGCCTCTTTCACAATGAAAAATCTGAACCCTAGCGAAACCATACGAATCTTGGCAATGCCTCCATAATATCCACTCTTTATGAAGCTGCAGCCAGTGGAAGCAACAAAGCCTGAAGCCTTAACCCCAAGTAATCAGCGTATCCCGATCCCTAAACCCTGCAGCCTAAAACCTTCAAGCCCTAAGTGATCCCAGTACCCTGAGAAGCCCTGAACCCTAAATCTTAAACCCCTAAACCCTGAACTGGGGCCCGCCTCAGTCTGGCCTTTGACCCGGAGATCGTTCAGTTTGTTCTCGAAGCCTAAGATCTCCTCCAGCCAAGCTACAATAGGGGTTATATAGGGGTTATATTTAGGGGTTATACAGGGGGTATTTTGGGGTTATATAGGGATAATGGAGAAGAAAGTGGAACCACCATATTTATTATATTACGGGTGGGGGACTCAACAAGTATGCTATTGTGGTTGAAGTTGATGGGTTGTTAAGTCTTAGTATTATATAGAGCACCGGAAGTCTAAGTACCCTAGTCTGGTTGGGTTGTAGCCATGTTTTTGCTTATTCTTGAGCTACCACAGCCTCAGCCACTCCTAGCAAGGTATGCAAGAAACTGGCAGCTCGCGATAGTCTCTTCCAGTAACCCTGGGCCTGTAACAGGCCGCGGGCACGATTTCTATGTGAACATAAGGTATCTTGCATACAAACCGTTAGGCCCTGCATAAACACTTCTGATCCTATCAGATCCTAGGGCTATATTGAGGTTATATTGGGGATTATATAGGGGCTATCTAGGGAGAATGGAAAAGAAAATGGAAACTACTATCAGATTCCTTCAGGCGGAAAGGCCGGGCCATGGCTCAAAGAGGTATCTTTCCGAAATGCTGCCAAGCCCTGGGCCGCAGGTTGGGTGGCAAAGCCTGCAAAGCAAGGCTGAAGGTAACAACCAGAACCCCAAAAGTCTGTAGAATAATGGCCTTCGGAACTATATTTAGTTGCTCTGGGCCATTATTTTACATACTTCTGGGGTTCAGCAAGACACTAAAGTAGATGCAAGCCCATACCTCGAACCCCGAACAGCGCCGACGGTCCTGGTCGAGGTGCTCCCGTTGGATCAGAAGCTCCTTTCGAGAAGCTGTACCAGCGAGTCTTCTATAGTTTGCACGGTGGATGATTGTAGGCATAACTGTGGCAATGACTGGCCTAGGTTGTAATCTTGGCGCTAG